TCCGAAACGTCAGCTTTCCTGCTCCTCTGATGCTGCTTGGCCTGCTGTGTTCATCCAGCTCTACACCTTGTTATCTCAGATTCTCCAGCATTGGCAGTTCCCACTATCTCTGCAGATATTTTAAGATGTTTAAGCTGAATTTTTTCCAGTGCCATTTATTGCATCTCTGTCTACAGCCACCCTTCATGCCAGCCCAGGCTACTTCTGTAACACTGTCTGTTTCTACCCCTACCTCAGCTCACCTATTGCTAAAATCTGAGTGTATTGTCAAGTGAAGGATGGACAATGAACCGACAGAGAACTTACAATGAACTGGAGCAGCAAGGAGTGGGAAATACAATGAGCGGGAGGGACAAAAAGTGGGAGAGACAAGATGGGGAGGGGCAAAGATTGGAAAGGACAACATGTGGGAAGGATAACGAGTGTGAGAGACAAGGAAAATCCCACCATGCTAACACTGAGCACCCATGACTTTAACATATGTAGAACTGTAAATTTGTAGAATTTATAATTTATCAGCACAGGACAATGAAAGCTTACCTCTGAGGTGTACCAGCAAAGATTGCAGAAACGCTGGTATTGTTCTCTACATTTTGCCGTTGTCGTATTGCTGATCCTCTTGGATGGTTGTTACAATCACGCCACTGAGTACTTCGTGTTCTGGTTTCTGATAGGGGCATAACTACATCAGAGAAAAGGATGGAAAGAATTTCCAATAAAAGGAATGTTGACTTTGGTGGAATTAACTATTGGTGAGTGGACCAATGGAACAGCTAAGTATGGCATTTTACTTAAGCAGACCCTCCACTTCCTGGAGTAAGGTTTAATAACACTCAGCCTCAAGCCTCTGTTCAGTGGCAGATAATGGAGGAACTGGTGTAATAAAGCACCAGGGTAGCACCCCGAGTCTTATTCACCGTACAGCATCTGAGGATGTGCTAATACTTTCTCTTTATGGTAGACATAGACACGATCGTAGCTCATCTTCAATTTCACCTAATCCTTAGTCTCAGCTCATCACCTTTTATACTCATTGTTGATTTTCATCATTCCTGATTTCACCTCATCTCCAACCTTGGCCTCTCACTGCCTCAACTCATTCCCAATTCCTGCTCCTCATCGCTTCGTATCATCACTGTTCCAAGCACCTTCCTGATTCAGTTGCTCACTGCCCAGCCTCACCACTGATCTGAAAGCATCATCCAGCTTTGTCTATGCCTCACCTAACCTTTACTTATCCTTGATCTTCATTCATCCCTAATTTCAAATCCCTGATCTTAGCTCATTCTTCATCTCAGTTCAGCTCATCCTCGATCTTTGCTCATCATTGCCTCACTTCATCCCTGATCCCAACTCCTCATAAATTTCAGTTTACCACCACCTAACCTCATCACTGATCTTAGTCAATTTCTGCTCACACCTAATATCCCCTCATCATTGATCTTTGCTCATTATACATATCAGTTCATCACTGGTCTCAGCTCATTCCTGAGGTTTGGGCTAAAGATTCCAGACTTATTGCAAATTGTATGCATAGAAGTAAAGGCTGTTGATTCTTGAATTGACTGCTGATTCAGCTGCACCTTATCCAAACTGTCAGTGACACAAAGAAAGGTTTCTACTCATAAGGTTGGTATTCTTTAACAAAAATATAAATGCAAAGGTTAAGCATTATTTGAAACAATTTTCCCATTGTACTCTTCTTTTAAGTAATTTGCAGAAGTTAGGTGGATAGCGTCAGGTACTGAGCAGAAGTAGGGACATCCCTTCCTCCCCAAGAAAAATGGAACAGATGGAACAACTAACAGGAAAGATCAGACCACCTGGAGACCTGTGAGCCATTAATTGGTTGGCAGAGGATTGAGGTTTGAGGAAAAGTCTGCTTTACAAATACATAGATACAAAGAAAGAACTTGAATTTATAAAGCACCTTTCACAAACTCAAGGAATCCCAAATTCTTTACAAGTGATGAAGCACATTTTGAACTGTAGGCATTGCTAGAGTGTAGGAAATGTGAAGCTATTGCAAGATCTTACAAATAGCAGAATGATAATGAGCAGACAAACTACTTATATATATGTAGGTTGAGAAATAAACATTGGCCAGGATCCCAGGAAAACCATAAAACCAAAAGACATAGGAGCATTTGGCCATTCAGCCCATTTAACCTGCTCCACCATTTGATCATGGCTTATATGTTTCACAACCCTATTCTCCTGTCTTCTCCCAAAATCCCTTGATCCCTTTACTAATCAAGAACTTATCTATCTCTGCCTTAAATACACTCAATGACTTTGCTGCAGAGGGCTGTGGAAGCTACGAGTTCCACAGATTCACCACCCTCTAGCTGAAGAAACTCCTCCTCACCTCCGTTCCAGAGGGTCATCACTTCACTCTGAGGCTGTGCCCTCAGGTCCTAGTCTCTCCTACTAATGGAAATATCTATTCCACATCCACTCAATTCAGGCTCTCTGTATACTATACGTTTTAATCAGATCCCCTTTATCCTTCTAAATGCCATCAAATACAGACCCAGAGTCCTCAATCACTCCTCGTATGACAAGCCCTTCATCCCCGGGATCATTCTTGTAAACCTCCTCTGGAACCCCTATAACACCAGTGCATCCTTCCTTAGATACGGGGCCCAAAACTGCTCACAATATTCCAAATTTGATCTGGCCACAGCCTAACAGCTTCAGCCATATATTTCTGCTCTTGTATTCTAGCCCTCTTGAAATTACTGCTGACATTGCATTTCCCTTCTTAACTGCCAAGTGAACCTGCACGTTAACCTTAAGAGAATCCTGAACTAGAACTCCCTAGTTTCTTTGTGCTTCCAATTTCTGAAGCCTTTCCCATTTAGAAAATAGTCTACACATCCATTCTTTCTACCAAAGTGCATAACATCACATTTTCCGATATTGTATTCCATCTGCCACTTCTTTGCCCACTCTCCTACCTGTCCAAGCTTCCCTATTTCCTCAACACTAACTGTCCCTCTATCTATATTTGTCTCATCTGCAAACTTAGCAACAATGCCCTCAATTCCTTCATCCAGATCATTAATGTATAACGTGAATAGCTGTGGCCCCAACACAGACCCCTGCGGAAGTCCACTGGTCACCAGCTGCCATCCTGTAAAAGACCCCTTTACTCCCACTCTCTGCCTTCTGCCAGTCAGCCAATCTTCTATCCATGCCAGTACCTTGCCCCTAACACCATGGACTCATCTTATTTAGCAGTCTCCTGTGTGGCTCTCGTCAAAGTCCCTCGAGAAATCCAAACAGATCACACCCACTGGCTCTCCTTTGTCCAACCTGCTCAGAACCTCCTCAAATAATCCTGACAATTTGTCAGGCATGAAATCCTCTTGAAGAAGTCGTGCCGATTCAGCCCTATTTTACCATGCACTTCCAAGAACTCCGCAATCTCATCCTTAATAACGGACTCTAAAATCTCACCAATGACTGAGGTCAGGCTAACCAGCCTATAGTTTCCTATCTTCTGCCTCCCTTCCTTCTTAAAGGGGGTGTTACATTAGCCATTTTCCAGTCCTCTGGGACCCTCACTGACTCCAGTGATTCCTGAAAGATCATCACCAATGCCTCTACAAGCTCCTCAGCTATCTGCTACAGAACTCTGGACAATAGCTCATCTGGTCTGGGTGATTCATTCATCTTCAGACCCTTCAGCTTCCCCAGCACCTTCTCCTTTTTAATGGCCATTACACTCACCTCTGTCCCCTGATTCTCCTGAAGTCCTGCTGGTGTCTTCCACTGTGAAACCTGATGCAAAGTACCTATTCAGTTCCTCCGCCATTTCTTTGTTCCCCATTACTACTTCTACAGCCTCATTTTCCAGCAGTCCAATGTCCATGCTTGCATCTCTGTCACCTTTTAGATATCTAAAAAACTCTTGCAATCTTCTTTTATATTACTAGCTAGCTTACTATCGTATTTCATCTTCTCCACTCTTAATGCTTCTTTAGTTGTTTTTAAAGGTTTCCCAATTCTCTGGCTTCCCACTAATCTGCACCACATTGTATGCTTTTTCTTTTGCTTTTATGCTTTCCTAACTCCACTTGTCAGCCATGGTTGCCTCACCTTCCTCTTAGGATGTTTCTTCTTCCTTGGGATGGATTTCTGCTGTGCCTCCTGAATTACCCTCACAAACTCCTGCCATTGCTGCTCCACCATCTTCTTTGCTAGGCTCCCCTTCCAATTAACTGGCCAGCTCTTTGTTCATGCATTTGTAGTTACCTTTACTCGATTATAATACCGTTACATCTGATTCCAGTTCTCCCTCTCAAACTGCAGAGTGAATTCTTATTCTATTATGGTTACTGTCCTCCCCCACCCAAGATGTTCCTTCACTTTAAGCTCCCTATTCATTACACATCACCAAATCCAGAATCACCTGTTCCCTAGTGGGCTTTAACACAAGCTGCTCCCAAATAAAGCTTGGAGACATTCCACGAACTCCTTTTCTCAAGTTCCACTACCAAGCTAGTTTTCGAGTTCACCTTCATATTGAAGTCCCCCATGATTTCTTACATACCTTTTCAATCTCCTGATTTATTTTCTTCCCCACATCCTGACTGCTCGTCAATACCACAAATTCCCTCACATATGGCATTGTAAATGGTGTAGATGGAAACAAAGTCACAAAGAGGATTGATAGGTTAATTGAATGGGAAAACTGTGCCAAATGGATTGCAATGTAGGCAATCTAAGGTGATCTACTTTGGATCAAAACAGAATAGAACGTGTGGAAAAACTAAAATATTGCTTGTAGGAGGCCTGTACACAACTCCCATCATGATCTTTTTTTCCGGTTTTTCAACTCTACCCACAAAGATTCTACATCTCCCAACTCAATACCACTTCATGCTATCAATTTAATTTAATTTCTTACTAACAAGGCAACTCCTCCCCCCTCCCATCTGTCTGTCCTTTTGATAGGACGTGTATCCTTGGATATTTAGTTCCCAGCCCTGATCCCTTTACAGCCATGTCTCTGTGATACCCACAACAGTGTACCTGCCAATTTCAATGTGCAATACAAGCTTATTTACCTTGTTTAATGTCTCATTCAAATGACAACAATATTACCAACAGCATCATCCTCTGTCAATATTGCACCGCTTATTATGTGTCAAGGATGTTGCCAGGGTTGGAGTGTTTGAGCTATAGGGAGACGCTGAATAGGCTGGGGCTATTTTCCCTGGAGATTCGGAGGCTGAGGGGTGACCTTATAGAGGCTTATAAAATCATGAGAGTCATGGATAGGGTGAATAGCCAAGGTTTTGTTGATGTCTCTACTGTTTTTAAATAGAAATCTGATCATTGTATTCCAGGCTGGGCTGATTAGAACTTCTACCTCCTTCTAATGCCAACATTCTACTATTCAATTATTTTCTCTATCTGTTTGTGACATTTTAATAAACTATCTACCTGGACACCGAAGTCTCTTTGGACCTCCACTGCCCTAGTTTGCCTACACCGAAATCCATTTAATACAGTTTTTCCTATTCACTTGATCTGTCAATCCTCTTTGTAACTTCATGTTTCCAACTACACCGTTTACAATACCATGTGAGATGGAATCTGTGGTAACGAAGAGTAAGAGTAAGAGAGGCTGTGCAGAACTCCTGGAGTGAGCCTTGATGCCACAGTATTGGAC